CGGGGGGGGGGGGGGGGGGGGGTGATATTAATGACAAAATGACAACATAAACTAAAAAAAATACTTGTAGTAAAAATGAGTATATAAGAATAAAGATTTTCTCAAGACTCAGGTTTTCTCTATTGAATATCAAGAACATAAAAGTTTTCTAAAACTTTTCTTTCTTTCAACCTCTTACTTTTTTCTTCATTTTTTTTAAGACGTACATATACCACACCTATATACTTTATGTATATACATATATAGGTGTGGTACGTCTTTTTTAAACGTGGGTTTTCTTGACTGAAAGTGTCAGAATCTTTATTTTAACAACTTTCAAGTATATTTAAAGTAGATTCAAAAATTTTTATTAACAATCCGAAAGATAAGCCCCTATGATTACACATATATATTTTAAGATATAATGTTAGTTTTCCTTGAAATGATGAATGTGAACAACGATCGAAATGTCTATATCCACTTGAACCTTTAAAATCCGGCCAAAGAGACCTTATAAGCTGAGAAAAGGCGTGCATACGTCTAACAACCTGTAATATTCCATCTTAATAAAAACTTCTCACACATTCTGTTAATACATGCGTTTTGGACGACTTTGGTATCACGATCCCGATTTATAACTTTTTTTAAAGCACCATATAGTGAAGTATCATCATATAATGTTGATGTATCAGCATATAATGTTGAAATATCAGCATATAATGTTAAAGTATCAGCATATAATGTTGAAGTATCAATATATAATGTCAAAGTATCAGCATACAATGTTTAAGTATCAGCATATATTGTTGAAGTATCAGCATATAATGACAAACTATCAGCATATAATGTTGAAGTATCAGCATATAATGGCAAACTATCAGCATATAATAACAAACTATCAGCATATAATGAAAAACTATCAGCATATAATGTTAAAGTATCAGCATATAATAACAAACTATCAGCATATAATGACAAACTATCAGCATATAATGTTAAAGTATCAGCATATAATAACAAACTATCAGCATATAATGACAAACTATCAGCATATAATGTTAAAGTATCAGCATATAATGAATGTTCTCCACATAAGGCAGCTGCGACGTTCCATACATATGAATGAAAAATTCTCGAAAGGGACGTTAAACAACATACAAACAAACAAACAAAACTTACACAAACCATCTCAGAGTGATAAAATAACAAGATGTGTGTGAGAAACACTGATGTACCCGTATTACATCCCGTGGCGAGGGTTAAAATTTCTCAAATGCAAAAAAACAAAAACAAAAAAAAACTCCAAGGTCAAGAGATAAATGTTGGTACCCAAAGATTGGTTTTGTCACAAGGAATACACCTGTGAAAGCCCTAGCACCAATCATTCAGAGGTTATGGCCAAGGTTATTTTTTTTAAAATATAGGTCAAACTCTAAGGTCACGGCCAAAATTAATGGTGCAGGCAGAAGGTCTTATCACAAGGAACATACTCGTGAAATATGAAAGCCTTAGCACTAATAATTCAAAAGTTATCGCCAAGGTTAAAGTTTTTCAAAAAACGTCCAAGGCCATGGTCAAATTTAATGGTCTTGTCACAAGAAATATACATTTGAAATACAAAGCCTTAGCACCAACAATTCAAAAGTTATGGTCAAGATTAAAGTTTTTCAAAAGGGTCAAGGAAAAAATGCCAGAACCATTGGTACCTTGGGGAAGGACTTAACACGAGAAATACACGTGAAATATGAAAGACCTAGCGCTTATGCTTATGTTTTCTTCAAGTAGTTCAAACTCCAAGGTCTAGGCCAAAAGGTCAAAACTGGTACCCAAAGGAAATTCTTGTCACAAGGAATACACATGTAAATGCACCAACTGTTCAAATGTTATGGCCAAGGTTGAAGTTTTTCAAAAAATAGGTCAAACTCCAAGATCAAGGTAAATAAACTGTTGTATTCAAAGAAAGGAATACACATGTAAAGAATGAAAGCCCTAGCAATAACCGTTCTAAAGTTATGGCCAAGGTTAAAGTTTGGTAAAATTTTGTAAAAGTGGGTCAAGCTCCAGGGTCAAAAGGTTATATATGTTGGTACCCAAAGAAAGGTCTTCTCACAACATATACACATGTGAAATATGAAAGCCATAGCTCCATCAATCAAACGTTATGGGCAATGTTAAAGTTTTTGCGAAAAAGCAGACAGAAAAGACGGACGGGCAGGGCAAAAATATATATGCCCCGAATCTTCGATTACGGGGGCATAAAAAGTACTCAACGCATATTGGAGGAAGTTATGCGCCGATCTTACCACTTTGTTACGCATTCACAAAACTACATCAGAGCTAGGGGACCTGGAGACAAACGTAAATATTGCTAGATTTGATCTAGGCTTATACAATTAGGATCGCTTTGTTTTGAATAGTTTTCATAGTTTATCTTACTGAGTAATTGATGATTTTTATTGTTGTGTGGAGTGGGTATACAGATTTTGGGGACTTGGTTATAATTACCTTATAAAATTCAAAGTTAACCAATGCTAGTCACCTGTACAAGATTAAACAAGATGCCGCTCAGACAACAAAAGCTTGGAAATATTTCAAATGATTACAAATCCAGATCATCCGCTGCAATTATTGAAGGCAAATCCAATAATTTAAAATATTCTCGCATTTCCAATCTAGCAAGGTCTTGTTTATTTGTAATCGTAAAAGTAACGAACATGCAGTATATTATTTATCAAATGCAAAAAAAAAAAACAAAAACAAAAAAAAAACTCCAAGGTCAAGAGATAAATGTTGTATACATGCAGTATATTATTTAAAAAAAAAATACTGGTAAATAAGGGGTAAGACTAAAATTAAAATTGTAATGACGTTACAAGAAATACACAGGTACTATGCAGTATATATAACCAGCAAATATATTTTAAAAGATTTAATGAAAAATTATTTGAGTAACTGGGTACTTTATCGAAAAAGTAAGCGAGAAATAGGTTACTAAAAATTTTCTGATTCGACAACACTTAAGTGTCAATTATGCTTGAACATGTAGACAATAACCCATAAATACTGATTTCTAGTTCGATAAAATTAATCCGTGCTGTTCACATCTTTGAAACTAGAATTAAAGTAAAAATTACACCGTTTCTCAAAAATGACTGCGCCCTCTCTGAAATATTAGTAATCCCAAGAGAAGCTTGTATTCTAGACTAAGTGCTATAATTAGTGTTACGATCAATTCACATGATAATCTAATAAGTTAAGGCTTTGAGCTGGATTTAAATTCAATTTGATTGTATTACACTTGTTACATTCACTTGTAGCCTGTTTCATTGTTTTCACAGAGTGTGAAGGTCGGGTTCCATTTCACCGATAACTTGAATCAAGCTGTAGTACAAAGATTGGTACAGGAACATCCAAAGGATGATAATCAGGAATATAGTTTCTCTTACGATATTTTTATCCTGTAAGTATCACTGAAATTTAAAAAACTACATGGTTTGCAGGGATAATTATCCAAATCTTTTTTTCATTAATTATCTTGAAAACCCGGAAATTCACAGATTTTTTGCAAAATTATTGAAATTAGGATGTGGAAATCTAAAACTTGCAAGTTAAGCATTATTTTTTTAGTGATGTGTCTTCTAAACTACTTTCAACAGTTTTTTTTTTAATATACAATTAGTTAGCATCAAAACAATCTCCATATAAAAATCAGTGCAATGAAATTAATTAAATATGAGTATCGGGTATTGTTTTTAACATACTTTAGATATGGAAGATTCACCATAAAATATTGCACAATGAGTTTGCTTTTGTTTTTAAGTTATTTATATTCTTTAAAAACAACTTACGATGACCACAAAACATCAAGAAGTTTGTTTACATGTATATATGAATCATATGTTCAGGCCTATCAGACCAACGGATTAATCATGATCCACATAATATTTATTAATGTACTACTATAACAGTTAATTATGATATGTCGACCTGATGAATATTATCTCAAAAATATTTAATGTTGAAAATCTGAGCGTTGGGTCTCTCTCACTCTCTATATATATATGTCGTTCAACTTGATCATTAGAAAAAAAAAAGTTTTAAGTAGTAAAATCTCCTTGAATACTTGAGAAAATAATCCGATCTGGCGCGAAACAAACTGCATATATGTTAAGAAGGGACTTATTTAATATTCATCCAAAGCTCTCATTACAAAAAAAGTTTATTTTGTATTTGAAAAATACTTGGGTATTTTGCCAAGGGAATTTTGAAAAAAAAAATAGCTGTAAAATTTCACATAATTCACCTTTACGTAGATGGTAGGATACTCCATGTAATGAAAGATGCAGAATTTTTGCAATACTAGACAGATGTATTTATTTCATTTTGGAATGAAAAGCTTTTTCACGTATAAGAAAACATTACTTACAGATTTTAGATTGTCATAAACTAAACATTTTTTTTTAAATTTTGTGAATGAATGTCAGCCTTTAAATTGAAAACACTGAAAAAAAAACTTTATTTATACTCAAAATTTATGAATGAGTATTCTCATTATTATCCACCCCATCTACATGTACATATTTTTCGTTTCATATATCAGGTACATGTACGTGTAAATCATATACGGTACCAATTTTGATGCATGTACATGTGATATATGTTCAACACTGTAAATTACTACTATAATTTTGTGTACTTCAAATACCATTATATTTAGGTGTTAGAGAATAAAATTAACTTGAACATAAGGGAAAAGTTGTACTTGTCTGCCTAAATATTATCCAATTTAGCAAGTTTTTAAATTACTGAGTAGTCTTTTGCATTACATATTCAATTTAAGTGTCTTTTTATTATCATTGAACAGGTAAGTTCAAATGAATGTATGAGTAATATGAACGAAAAATGTTTGCTGAAATAGAAATAATTGATTACATAAAATCGATACCTTACACTGTCTAAGTAATCAGTTACATGTACATGTATTGACCGAAAACTGTTTATGTCAGAATTTTGCCGGCTCGATGCTTGCAAGCGCTAAAGAGCGTCTGATATGGGTTCATCTTAAAGCATTTCTCCCAAGTCGAGCACTCCCAATATTAGCATACTGGACAGCTACAAGTAAACTCAAATTGTATATGTTTATCGTTCTGTTTCGATGTCTTTACATGGCACTGTCCATTTAGTTAGTTACTGTGCATGTATGACTATAGATGCGATACCGGTCTTGTAGAGGAGGCTTTCCCCTCTAAAATCCTCCCGAAAAGATGACTCTAGAGTAGGATTTCCCCCGGAAAACAGGCTCTAGAGTAGGATTCCCCCCACGGAAAAATGATTCTAGAGTAGGATTTCCCCTAAGAAAATCCCACACCAGATTAAATTTTTCGGGGGAAACCCTACTCTGTGTAAAAGTTGTATAGAGTGCTATTTACCCCAGAGCTAAGTTTCCCCCAATAAAATATCATGGCTGTACATACATTTATGTATGAGGGGGACACATTGATTCAAGTGTCCATTCTTCAGACTAGCGAATAGTTCCATAGAAACATACAAAGTATGAACATTTAAAATTTCATTTTTTTTGAGTAACTGTCAAACCAATTCTTTTGAAGCATTAAAACCTTAATCTTTTCATCTGGTCAAACTGGTTTCTGAAAAAAAGAATTGGTACAAAATAATCGGGTGGACACAATTTTAACCGTATCCATGAATACAAAAAGGAATTTCATTTTAAATGGATTTCTTTCGCCAGTTGTATTTCAAACTACATGTTAATGTACATAAATGTCTCTCAAAACTTCCGGTGTTTAAATGTAGCTTGAAACTAAAAATGGGTCATTTATTTCCAAAAATGTGAAATTTAGCAAAACTTTTAGAGAGTATTTTCTCACTGCTTTCAAATCCAATTTTCAATCGCTGGGGTCGAGGGGACACACTTATGCTTTGGCTTGCAAAAGCAGTGTTTTTTGTATTGTTGTGTTTATGGTTTTTGCTGAAGAACTAATCGATTCAAATACTCACAAAATGGCATTTGGAACCCATCAATAACATAGATTTTAGAATTTTCTCAGATCCTCTTTGTAAAAAGGATCGATACATAGATGAAATACTGGGCCTTTAGAGGGCAAGCAAATAATCAAATCACTAAAAAGGGGCATGGTATGATTTTAAAATTCGTGAGCAACACGCACGCAAAGAGAGAGTGTTGAGACATCATCGAGTCTTACGATTTTTTAAGTGAGTGACTTATTTTTCAATTTCCATTTTTTTTTTTTTTTACAAATTCGACAATTGTTGAGTCGAAAACATTCATATTTCCATTGAAAAATCAGTTGACAATCCTTAATACGAAAAAAACTATAAATTAGGAGGGTATGCATCCTCAGTAAGTTTGATTCCAAAGGTTCAAATATATTCTCATAGTGTGTTACCCAGTCTTCGTTTCCTCCTTTCGGGGGTGCGGGATGAGACCACGAAATGGTCATATTACCACACACTTAAAAATATTACATAATTATGTGGGCTTCAAAGAGTTTTTGATGATCGATTTCTTTCTGGACATTGTCATGTGCACTTCTATTTGCAATGCCTGTTATACTAGCCTGACAATAACCAGTGCTTGTGATACTTAAGTTTTTGCAGCATTGACCTCTTATTTTAATTTTAAAATGCATTAAAAAAATGTATCTAAATACATGTATAAGAATTACGAACAGGAATCAAGCTGAAAAGTCAATTGGAACAATGGAAATTGAGAGCAGAGCAAACACGAATCTCTGAAAACATCAGAGGTGGGATCAGGTGCCCTGGAGGAGTAACCATCATCAACTACTAAATCATATACATGTCCAAAACGATTTTCACTGTTTATTTTTAATTAAAAATGTGAATTTGAAACATTTATCTCTCTCTCTCCACTTTTCTCCTCTTCTTTCGGGAACAAACATTTCTGAAATATATCTAGCATCCTTAAGAGAAGGGGAATCAAATTTTTTGAATGAAAAGCCTTATTGATGTATATTTTTGTGACAATTTAAAAGAAAAATCAGCGAAAAGTGGGAACAATGTTGTCCATATGTAGTTAAATTCTTCTCAAGAATTTACCCTGTTTGTAAATAAGGTCATTTTAACAACCATGGAATTTGCGAAGTACTGATTTTAACGAGATAACGGTAATTGAAAAAAAAAAATCACATCAACTTCTTTGTAAGTAGCCCAAAAATTCATAATCAAATAATAATAATAAGCCTTTATTTATCCAGGATGACATAGTTTAGCAACAATGCTAGTTTTCAATATGGTCCTTCAATATAACATACATATATACAGGTATTAGTAAAACATAGTTTAAAAGAAATAGAGTACATATAAGATAAATAATAAATGTGAAATATTAAATAAATAAGTTCCAAACATCGTACACGGAACATGCTCTTGTGTATCTAATCAGTTGGGAGACATACACACCATATGCAGGTGATTGTGGAATATTACTACATACATAGGGAATCTTCAGGAATTGTGAATTTTGGTTTTTATACATTGTACCATAACCCTCGGGGCTAGCTGGGGTCACAATGATGAATGGAAATTAATTATGGGAATAGAAAGAAAAATCTTTTTTATAATTTTATGAAAAACAGCAGGACTATAGTGATTGATCTCTTGTTTTACAGTGCTTCCCTTTGAAGAAGCAGCTTTTTCGTATTCTCTTGAGAACGACCTTAGGACTCTTCTGTTCACAACTAATAGTTACAACAAATTTACACGACCACTCGAACAAGTTACTATCTCGGCCGAACTCAACCTGCTGTCGCTTGCATCACTGGTAAGTCAATCTTGAAGCCCTTCACCTGTATAAGGTGACCTCTCTCTATACATGTAAGTGAAAAATTCTCGAGCGGGACGTAAAACAACATACAATTTATCAATCCAATATGTCACATAACACGGAGGGATCTGTATGAATTGTCCCGTCTGTTTCATATAGATACATAACCTAGTTAAAAAAAGATGGACAAGTTGTGATAACAATGCACCACCAGTGGCTTCCATAGAAAAAGAATAAAAATAGTAACAAATTTTAATTCACAACTTGTTGGGTGGATTCACTTACTTTTCTACAAATAGATTAGACTCTGTACACTGTATTGCCTACATCTGTAAATCCATTTTCTTTCTTTTTATAGGTGCTTAGTTTCAACTCATTTGTAGGCCTAATATCATTATTAGAATTGGATTTAGTATAAACTTTCTACTCTCAAAAACAACAAGGCATGTTTTCTCAGGCAATCCACATACTTTTGTATACACACTTTTATCTTTTATTATGCCCCCGTATCGAAGATTCGTGGGTATATATATAGTTTTTGCCCTGTCCGTCCGTCTGTCTGTCTGTTTGTCCGACATACATACAAATGTTTTGATGTCTAATACTTGTATCTTTAGGAGTGTATTGAAGTGCAGGGATGCATGTACCTGATAATGCAGTGTCTGTGTAAAAGTGCTTTTTGTCTTCTTGGCTAAAGTCCTTGTCAAAGCTTGAATTTTGTGAAATTTGTAGAAAATTGTATTTAAGTTTAAATATTTTAAAAAGTTAACTTTTTATGCATTTTTTTCCCAAATGCATGATTTATACTGAAAATGGCTTTTTTTTCTTCAAAAAAGGGATCCTAGTGCAAAAAGATCAAATTTCTGTTCAGATTTTAAAACAGGCATAACTTTTAAGCAAATATGATGACATATTTCTTCTTAATGAAAATAAAGATATCAGATATCCTATCAAATATATTGCTGATTTGAATTTTTTCTCAGAAAAATATAAAGATAATTGAATGATTGAAATTAAACATAACATGTATGGAACATTGACATTCAGGGATATACAGCTATGGTGTATTGCATCATTAGTATAGTGTATACAACTTAACATTTTTCAATTTTTCATCGGAAAAAAATATTTATTTATACTTAAGTATCAGTAAGTCTAATAAACCATAATTGTTTATTTATCTTTGTTTTGTCTGACAGGTTTTATTTATAGCCTAGTTTATTTCAATATCCATTCTAATCTGCATCAACTATTTGCAATGTGCCCGCGGCTCCTACGATCGTTAGATTTATCTCCTCCAAACTCTTCACTACTTCCGTTCAGTTTCTGATTGGGCACCGCCATTTTTGGAATCCAAGCACAGCCTTTGTGCACATAAATTTTGTTCAAATACCGTCTCTGACTGGTCAAACGCAGATGCCTATCATGCCAGTCGTACCTCTAAGTGGACAGGGAAATTTTATGAATTCGTCTGAGCAAACATTTAATGCATTTATTGACAATAGAATCAGGCTCATCAGGCGCGGATCCAGGAATTGAAGTTAGAGGGGGCGCAAAAAGTAGGCAGGGGGTCTGGGAGCCGCCTTGAGGCGAAGCCCCCGGAAGCTTCAGGATTCTAGAGATTTTGTAGAGTAAAAATGAGGTCTACCAAGTAGACATTTTACATTTTCTCGACAAAACTATAATTTGCGCTAACTCTGACAATTTTAGGGGGGGGGGGGGGGCGCCGGGTGCGCCCCCTTAAATCCGCCACTACTCATTACTCAACAGTATATTTCAACCTAAGTTGTCTCGTCAGGCCCTAAAACCAAGTAACATACATTTTAAAAGATTTAAAAGAGCAACGAGGTCAGTCAGCCCTTATGTCCTAGACCTGGCAGATCCCAGAGAAGATGAGTTTGTTGAGGATGATGATGATCAGTCTTTAGAAGATTTCAGATCACACGGTAATGAGAAATGTGATGACACAGAATCTACAGTTGCTTCTAATGAGAGCACAGGCATTTGAAAGAACTTCGTAACTAAGTTAATCTTAGAATTAAAAGTTCTCTTGGAGGCTGATAAACCAGAACAAGAGTATGCTTCTTATGTATCAGAGTATTGTCCTTTCTGACATATTTTATTTCTTAAATAAAATCTGCAACATGATATCTATGAAATTTATAATATGTCTTTAATAATTTTTTTTAATGATTTTTGTTGCATCTCAAACATTGTTCAGCTTTATATCGATATAGAGTGAGTATTTTGAGAATTGTTTGATCACTCTATTGGTCACCAGGTTAGGTAGATTAGGGTCAGTGTAATTTGTAAATGCCATTGAGGATAATCTGTTTATCTATATTTATCTGTACTTATTGTAACTGGTGACTATTTCCTTGTAACGAGCTGATAGGAGACGTCAATAAAACAAGTTCATTTTATTTACGCTTTCCCTGGTTATATATATTTTACAGTCATCCCAAACCGTACTGGACAGGAGACTGGTTCAAAAGGGTCCCTCACTGCAAGCGAGTTCCCCAAGGTTCAATATAGACACGACAGTATTTACAGTGTAAGAAAGAATACTCAAAGATTAGGCCTCCTTTGTAGGTATCAGCCATACAAGCCTTCATGAATGTTACAAGGAATGACAGGTGCGAGGCAATGTCCATGCTCTCTAAGCAAAGGATGATGAAAGATACGCAGTATCAGCAGATCATTTTACAAAGTTTTGTAAAGTACCATGAACACATCACAAGATATACACTATCTGGGGTTCAACATAAGGAGGGGCCTTGTCCTTCCTTAGGAGGACAGGTACCAGAAAATAGGAGAGATTACTATAATACTAGACATGGAGAGTGTTTTCAGGCACCTGACGTTACCTATTTTTCTTTTAATAAAAATAAATATCCCCCCATAGTGGCCCCTACCTAATTATTCTCAAGGTTCACATCGCCGCCATCTTGATTTTTTCTAGGTTGGTCACATTAACTTGTATTTTGTCTGAAACTCCGTGAAATAAATTCCCTGCAACCGTATTCTTTCTGTGGTCAGTCTTTCGAGGTCTCAATTTACGTATACGGACAGTGTACTAGTAACCAAAAGAGCACATCTCACTTGCAATCATTAAAAAATTCTCGTCAAAATCGACTCGAGCTAATTGCAAATAGTTGAAGCAGGTTAGAATGGATATCTTATAAACAGGGGTTTTACTTTTAAAAACCCACAATATGAATTTTCAGAAGCTGATTTTGCTACACCAGGGTCAGTCTGTACCTCAAACATAAATACATTATGTGTGCTTTAATGCGCTAGTTTGGAGTTTGAAAATTAACCCGAGTATGACACTTCGTAAAGTATTAAATATTTACGCAAACGTGTGAAAAAATGTGACAAAGGAATTATCTGAAAAATAGTGTGACGAGCTAGGTATTTCATTAAAAGTCATATTGATGATTACTTTTAAGAGTGTATCATATGCAACACGCCATTTCTATTAAGCAGTTTTCTAATTGTAGAGCATTAAAGATCAGTCGATGTCGGTTTCCTGCTATTTTACATTAGTAAGTATAAAATTCAAATTACATATAAAAATGATATAAATCTAAAAGGGGAAATATTTTTTCCCTCAATAATAGTAGGACCATAATTAATCATTTAAATAACTAAGCTTCAGTATGTTCCATGGATTCAATTTTGTACAAAACATGACGGGATTAGGTTTTCTTACAAGAAATAATGGACAAATCTTTTTTCTTTCTCTTTTCTAAGAAGTAGCAGGGCCACATAAAAGTTTATCAGATATATTATCCAGCTTTCCAACGTAGTATAGATTTAGGTTTGTTAGGAATATTTTCTTTAGAATTTGGATTGGGCCACAAAAAAGGGTCAGAGTTTTTCAAAGGATAGATTTATCCATTCATGAAAATGGACGTCATTTAACATATTTGTTACAAAATAAAATTTTACAGTTTTTCTCAATTCTTTTGTAATCATCTATCTGCCGGGTTTCTCCCACATAAATAAATTTTGAAATTGCGCATTTTAAAATCAAAAGTTTTGTACGGTATTGACTGAAATAAGAGAAATATAATCAAGCCAAAAAAAAAATTAAATAAAGTTGCATGTTTTCTGACCTACCCTGGATATATAATGTAGAAAAAACGTTAAAAAATCATATTAAACAAATCCAGAATCCATATCTTTATGTAGTGAATACTCAAACAACTTGTAGCCTTCGGGGATTGCATTTGAGCGAAAATAGGGGCCTACAGTTGGATGCAAAAATACATAAGAAAAAGTGTATAGATATGCAACATCTCTTGTCTAATGTAAATTCAAGTTTGTAAAGACTGGATCATGATATATTATTATGAGTTGAAGTTTACACAGAATACCTAGAATGGATCTTTTTAGTTTTATGCACGAAGTTTTCCTTTTCAAAATGGTAAAATCATGATAAATCAAAAATCGTTCAAAAATGTAGTATAAGATCCTGTTTCATCAAATCTTGGTCCCTCTTTCTGAGAATTAGCTACATTAAAGGATAAACAATGTTCAGGAACAAGGATTCTGGGGGGAAAATCCTCATAAACTGCAGAACTATATGTACAATGATGATTGTAAATTGAAAGCATCTCTGTGAATGTAGTACCTTGGGGATATGCTGCGGTCAAAACAAGGGTGAAGAGATTTTTAAAGAAATATAGGTATATACATGCAAACTTCTGCAAAAATGAAAAAAAAGATTTCAATTTGTAAACTTGACCTCAAGCCTCAATATTCTATAAAATAAAAGTGTTGGAATCATGATCTATCAATGATGGACGAATTTCCTTTTTGTACACATTCATTTGATATTGGTAAGCGTTGCAGCAAATAGTTACTTCCATAAAATATGATTCTGTACAAATTTAGCAATGGACCGACTCTCGTTTGTCATGGAGCACTAACCCAACATACAGTACTGATGTACCAGTCATTTACTCCACAGAAGACTATGTCTGGATTCCATCACTGTCTGTTACAAATTCGTAAGTAAAAATATGTTTTGTTGCTTTCATGCATATTATACATTCAGATACGACATTTTAACGCATGATGAAGATATCATTATCAAACTTGACTGTCAAAATAAACAACTTTTAAAATGATTTTTGCTGTTATCTACAAGTAGATATTATAAGTTTAAAGAATATATAATATATTAATAAAAAGACTAAGAATGTGTAATGGGATCACATTTAGGGAAAATTTAGCCTGTACATACCCCCTTCCCAAATCTGGCCCAAAGACCATAAACTGAGAACAAACTTTTAATTCATAAGTCCAAATTTTAAAATTTTGAATATTTTCATTTTTATTTAACGACATTGAAAAGTTGTAAAGTACTCAATTCTAAACAAATTATGAAACTATTGTTAATTCAAAAGTTATATACTAAACACTTACATTATCTGGTTTCTTTCAGAGTAAGCGACATTGGCGTAATCAGTGACGATACTGTCGTCATTCGAGTTGCTAGTGACGGTACTCTGACGTGGACGCCAGGTGGTATCTACGACACTTCCTGTACAACAGATGTTACGTATTACCCATTTGACACACAAACATGCTCTGTAACATTAACCACTTGGGGATACACAAACATAGAAATCGCTCTGACAGGTGTCGGGGTGGATAAATCATATTATGATGAAAATGGGGAGTGGGATTTCGTATCTTCCTCAACCACTACCACCACACGTTCATCCGGTGACAATACCTTACCCCAAATCAGCTTTAATTTGACCTTCAGGAGGCGCCCTGCATTCCAGGTCATGAATACAATTGTTCCCATGATTCTCCTTGCCTTTTTAAAGGTTTTTGTTTTCCAACTTCCACCCGATTCAGGAGAGAAGATTGGGTACGCTCTCACAACTCTTCTGGCTTTTGCTGTTTACCTTACATTGGTGACTGATCATATTCCTTCAACCTCCATCAATACGTCATGTCTGAGTAAGTTGTTTAAAATTATACAAGCAGTTATTACTTATTTTGATGTTTAGAGGGATGTCCACTTTTGATACCAGAAAGATGGTCTGTAATTATTTTTAGCGTAGACCCCCATATTACTTCAATGACACAACCCCAGAGAGGGGGTAGGCGCTAATATATCCCCGCGCTGGAACCACCATTTTTTTCATATCATACAAATGATAGATTTCAAAACTAGCCTGACTTCAGCACCGAAGTCTAGATGAAAGAAATTTGAGAACTTTTAATCTTTTAAGAACTACATATTCCAGACTAACGATTGATTGATTTAATGTCCTTCCATCAGTTCTCTAAAATTTAAATAAGGTCATCTTCTGAGTAGTATAATGTACATACCTTAGATGTAAGTAAATATGATAGAAATATTAGAATGGTTAACATGTGATTTACAAAGTTATAGCATAGTAACCTATTCGAGTTACCAAAAAAAAACATAAGGATAATGCAGATAGTGCTAAGGAGAAAAGATTGAACTCAAAAATTGTTAACATTAGTGTTTTCTATCCTTTGAGTTAGTCATCAATATTAAAAGTAAGCAATGTGTATTTACTCTATTTAAATATAAAGAGATGGATGGTACTAGTCATTTCCCAAACAAAAATAAGCCAAGTTTTATGACCAAATGAGAAGATAACGAACAGTAATCAAGCTAAAAAAATCAATTAGGAGCAAACGCGTACCCTATGGAATACTCTAGATAAGGTGCAGTGTAAGAGTAAGATCTCCTGTTGACCGGTGTCGCTTGAAGGGTAGAACGAAGTATAATCTGAAAACAATCATTATGAAAATAGTTGTCTAACAATTTGTATTAAAGATGTCAGTCAATATTTGACCTTACGACATGTTGGCTTTGCTCAAGGTCATTGTGACAACGATAGAATATGTGTATTTTTTTTTTTACTTTAAACGAGATTGTCAGTATCTTTGTATCATCAAATTGTTGACATCATGAACAGCTGCTTCTTCAGTATAAAAATTTGGAACTCAAAAATTACGATATTTTGCGAGTAGGGATGTCACATCGGTCAATATTTGATAATTGGTTACTCGGACGATTTCGCGATCGAGTACCCTGGTACTCGGAAAAAGTGTGTATACATGTAAAAGTTCGTTGATTTTATTGAGACCGATGTACCCCATTGATGTTTTCCTCCGTTTATAAGGAATGTACATAAACACAGAGCCCAACGAAAAAGATTTTTTGGTACTTAATAATATATGTATCAATTGGTTGATTGATATTGTTTAACGCCGAGTCGGCAATATAATATATGTATCAAACAAACTCGAAAGACATGATCAATACGTTCTATTTCCAATATGGAAGAGTTATACTTCTTAGTGCGCTGTGAAAAAGTCGGAAAATGTACAAATCTCGCGGGATTTCTGGGACAAACGTAACATAAACATGTAAACAATATGTTGAATGTCGATGAACAAATCCTAACAAAATGCAGATGAAATATTTTATTGTTGTGGACTTTATATACATCAAGAGTAGGAATGACAACGATATCAATTTATATCTATTGTTAATCGTAAGTATCTATTTATCGTATGATACATCTAATACAATACACTTGCCTCGGAAATGTCGTATTGTTTATTAAGGGATGATAAATTTAGGGTCCTCGCTCTCTTACATGTCCTTTATTTCTTCTATTCTTTAATTGGAATGACAAATACATTTAACATTTAAAATTGGATTGAGATTGGCATGTTTTGTATTATACGCAACGCCATGCCGTCCCAGTCAGACGACCAAACGCGCCTCTAATTTTGAAGAGTTCACTAATGGAAATCAAACGTATTAATACACCAAGAAAAACAAAATAATGCTTTACAGTTCTAGAGAAGGACGCAACTTTATAATGATTAGACTAGCGAAAGAGAATATCTTTGGGAATGGGCGTTGTCGTGATCGCGAGTCGTATATTATTTACATTTCCAAATGTTTTCTCTTTAATAACTCTGAAAAATAAATATGTTGGTTTATCGATATTTACAACTTTATACGTTATGCATAAATTATCCCACGTTTCCAACTGCAGTTGATACCCAACCAACGACAGTGATTCCTTAAATATATAGTTGTGTCCCCCGTATATACGCTAAATTTACAATGCACAGCTGACTTTTAACATTTTTTAAGTCCGGTTATTTTCAAATATTTCTTCACTTTTGAATTGGTAGCGGTATTTTATGTATGTCCGATTTCGCTACTGAATGCTAATTAAATAATCTAAAGATAATTAATATACCATTAAAAAACGATGTTCATTGAAACCAAATGATTTTTGCCATCGAAAAATTAAGGTCACGAGAGGCGAGAACAGCTGTTTACGGTATCCAGTGATTGGTCACGGTAATTACTGTACATACATGCGATAACGGGTATTGACTGGTGTAGTTGACGTTAATTACTGTATAGACATGGACAATGTTTATTTAAATCACATTTTTGATAAGTATTTAATAAATATGTGCACTTTGAAATGTGAAAAAATATTTATCCGAGTACCGACGTTCGATCGAGTACTCGGTTAACCGGGTACTCGTTGACATCCCTACTTTCAAGTGTCATCAACATACTTTGTTAAAAAGCATTCTAATTCCAGACACAAGTACTCTGAAACTGAAATTAAAAAGACACTGAAGGATCTTTTTAGTCTTTGGAGTCAAGGTTTTTAAACAACCTGTTTGAAATTCGATGGGCACTAATTGCACTCCTTTGTAAGCCTAAGTTAATGGACAATTAACTAATTATCTAAATTTGATGACAAACGTGATGACTTCAGCTTTGCCATCGTCAGCTTTCCCTATTGATGCAGTAATATCACCTTCAGTGTGTTATATCTACCAAATGATTCGGTACCCAACAGTATATTCTGGGTATGATCAATTTTGAAATTGAAGGATATTGACAAATAAGTTGATATTACGTGGTTTTCAACAATTTCATTCAAACGTCAGGATTCCACAGATTCTAGGGTCAATATAATAACCTTGTTTTCAAATACAAGTACAATCTATCGCTGGATTTTATTTTGACTTGTATGTTAAGCTATTGTTTTTGCACTTATTTTCACTATGGATTACTTCGTTTACTTAAACAATACAGAGATTTCCCGGAGGTTTGACCGACCAACAGGGTATGCTTACTCCTCCTTGGCACCATATCCCAACTGTATTTTTCTCAGAGATCAGTGTTTTTGACCTGTTCAGGTTTTGTGTTGTATAAAGGATTTATATCAATCACTGTTCATTATCTTTGAAAATCTTCAATTGTGAGAGATTTTATGTCTAATCGAAGGTTCGGGGACATGTAGTTTTGCTCTCTCTCTCCTTCTATCCGTTTGTCCGCAAAAAAACTTTAACCTTCCCCATAACTTTTGATTTGTCGAAGCTAGAGCTTTCATATTTTAGTTGTGTATTCCTTGTAACAAGACTTTCCTATAGGTACCGAAATATTTGACCTTGAAGTTTAACCTACTTCTGCAGAATTTTACCAAACTTTAACCTTGGCGATAATTTGTGAACGTTCGGTGGAAGGGCTTTCATACTCTACATGTATATTCCCTATAATAAGATCTGCCCTTGGTTACCAACAATTTTGACCTTGACCTTTAAGTTTGACCTATTTTTGAAAAACTTAAACACAGGTCATAACTTTTTAACGGTTTGTGCTAGGGCTTTCATATTTCACAAGCAAGTGTTTTCTTAAGTATAAATATTTTTGACTTCGTTACCTATTTTGAAAACTTTGACCTTGACCATAATTTCTGAATGAATTGCTGCTAAGGCATGTATATACACCATATGTGCATTTTACTTGTGGTAAGTCCTTTCTTTGGGTATCAACATTTTAAATCTTTTGTGCTTGAATTTTGACTTGCATGTGAGAAATTTTAACTTTCGCCATGAGCTGTCATACAGGAGCATCCGTGTTTCACAAACGTCTTGTTTTAAAATGGCGAACATATAGGTACCAGTTTTCTCGGTTGACATGGATGGTCCCTTTTTTTGGTGTTAATCAAGTTTTAAAACCAAATGTAAATTGTTTCATGATGTTGTATGCTCTTTACTTTACCTGAATTTATTTCTTTTTCAGCTGTATACTTGGTCATCATTTTTGCATTGGGAATAATATCCGTGCTTTTTACCATATATGTCCTCAAATGTCATCACAATCCCGAAAACAAACCTATTCCAAAGTATCTCAGCAAACTCTGTATAGCTTTTGCAAAGCTGACATGTGACAACTGCTGCTGCAAGAATAAGAACGCCGTAGAAGAACTTGCAGAAGGTGCGAAGACTCCGGTGGAAGTAATTGAACCAGAACTCACCTGGCCAGACGTAGCAAAAATTCTTGATGCTTTCTTTTTCAAAGCATATATCCTATTTTTATCGTGTTTGACTGTTTGTGTGCTTTTGACATTTATCATAAGTTATTATCAGTAGAAACATGTAAAGATATTTATCTTTTTAAAACTGTATAAGATACATAAAATATACATTAAAAAATAAAAGAATGTATTTTTTTCCTTCAAAATTACGGTACATATGATGATAAAACAGTTATAATTATGCATGTGCATGTTTAATGAAACGCATCAAAATTTTAAATGCTGAGAAAGAAGACTCTAAACAGAGCTTTCAAGAAAATTTGAAAGCGGATTGAAGTTTACATTTGATATCACAATTAATATATCAAAGTTTACAGGTATTAACATACTGTATGTGTTACTAAAAAGTGAGCTATATTTTAGCAGTTTTGGCGCAGACAACTTATTCATGAATAAAGTCAGTAAATCATTAGTAAATACAATTCGTGGCGCAGACATGTAGCGCTTATTCATGATTATGCCAACCACTCAATATCCAGTGACTGCGCTAAAGTTTGAATACGTCAATTTATGTACACAAACATTTTTTGGAATGCATATTTGTCCATGAAATTCATATAACTAACTGATTTCATATTTTCATAAAAAATCGACATTGATGCTAAGAACAAAATAGAATACCATAAGAAATTCAAAAAACTTAACAAAACAAAACGAAATAAAACATGACTTTTCTACTCACATTGAAAGATGTCAATGTTTTTCAATAGAATCCGTAATTATACCCCCGCTCCGAAGGAGAGGGGGTATACATGTACTCTTTTACCCTTGTGTGTCTGTCTGTGTGTCTGTCTGTAACAAATTTTGGATTCATTTTTGTGAGAATCCGATGTCAACTACCTGTTTATCCGTGCGTACCATACATAACAAATTTTGGTCGCAGTTTTCTCAGCAATTACTCATCCAGATTCTTGAAATTTTAACACACTCTTTGTTTAGGCATGCCATATGGTGGGATTGTTTTTGTACGAATCTGATGTCAACTTCTTCTTTATCCATGCGTCAGATAAAATGAACTGGTACTTTAAGGTTTCTGATCCATTAAAAAATTTAAAAGGGGGGCACCTTCAAGGTATGATCAAATCAATTTGAAATTTTAAATTTGAAAAATCAAATGTTACTGATAGAGAAAAAAACGTTTATTTTGTAAAAGCGCATATTGTTTTATATGCCTTTTTTCCAAATATGTTTTTTTTTAAAAAAGATATTGCATAATGGCAGACGTGATCGGAAGGTCGTGTGTTCGAATCACGGCCGCGACTGACCCAAGTCGATAATCAAAGTACTGTTTAACGTCCCTCTCGAGAATTTTTCTCTCAAAAGGGAGACACCACCATTGCCGTTGGTGGGCTGTAAATTTAGATCTATATTCAGCACTCAGAGCTATTGAGCAGTGAGGGATCTTTTTTCTGGCAAGCACTCGGTTTAACGGTCTCATCTGAAGGACCGGTCTCCATGTCCTACACTGGGATTCGAACCCGGCCGCGACGTAAGGATCGACTCCTTTATATCCGTGACTCTAGAGCAAACACTCGAACCACTGCGCCACACGGCGACTGGCATTAAATGAAATAAAATGCTATTAGAATATGTAAAATGGAATGGAAATAAAAGTTTATTGCAATTTTTCACCATACAAGTATTTTAATAAGTAAATTCATATTTCCGTAGTATGATGAGGACATGTATTAATTGAAGTTGTAATTAATTATTTCTAAAAGGTTGAACGACTTCGAAAAATTGTACAGAAGTCTTACTTTTTCTTTGATATATATTGTTCGAAAAGAAAACAGAAGAACAGAATAACAAATTATTTTTCAGCCTCTATTTCTCCATCGTCTCAAGCCACGGTTCGGAGTCCTCATATATCTCTCTCCAGAATGGGAAAGGATCGTACATTTTGGTCGTGGTTTGCGACGATGCTATTTCTCATACGTAATCTTAATATCAAATGCATCGAGCCTGCTAGTCATTGCGCAATACGAAGTTAATTTGTGAACATATGCATGCAGGAGAATACTGACCTAGATGTAAATTAAGCCCACTGAATTTGCAAGAAATCCTAATGTATTTGTGTAGGTTTTTTCTTACGCTTTTTAAAGAGTAAATTTTATTCGAGGAACGATAGAATTTTCAAATACGAATGATATATATGGGTCACTTTTGTCCGTCACAGACTTCGTAATTATAGCTTTGATAAATTAGCATTCGTTCAGTAGTTTTTGTGTCCAAGATAATTAGGCAATGGCTTAATTTTTTTTTAAAAAGAATCTTAATAAACTTAGCAAATTTTTTGGCATCGTATCTGCCTCCAACAACTTTTTTATTAACTGAATAAGATGTCGTGATCTTTTTTTTTCCTTTCGGAAAATATATTTTTCTAATATAATAGTAAACTCGCTTGTTGTGAATTTGTTGTCGGATGGCATAACGAGTTTATTGGTCTGTAGAGACGACTATAAAGGGTTAGGAGGTGGAAAAATATACAGGTTGGTTATGAAATATGTCTAGAATTAGGGGCTGAAAGGTCGTTGATTGACTAATGCTAGAAAGAGGCGAAATACATCCCCAAAGTGCGCAGAAAATCTTGCGCCGTAAATTGCACTTTATTTACATTACGGGATCTGTAGCGTTATGGTCAAATACTAAAATATAAAACCATAACTTAACGCTACAGTTCTGCAGCTAATTTCCTACATAAAAGACCATAGTTGTCAACATGGTCTGTAGGAATGTAATTATGCAAAATGTCTTGAACAGAATCCTTAGACAATTTAAATAGGTTATGCAAGACACGCCTTGCAGTTACAGTTTTACATGATCTTTTCATGTCCAAATAGGATAACTTGACAGTCTAGGAAATCGGCACTTGTGTAATCTTACGATTCTCTTCCTTTATTTGTCTTGGAATGGCTCTCTCCACTATTTACATGTATCTCGCTGTGGCTTTCTCCCCCATTTGTCTTTCTATGGCGGTCTCCAATTTGTCTTGCTTTGATCTTTCTCCACTATTTGTCTTGCTACTGGCCTCTTCATTATATCTCTTGCATTGCTTTCTAAGCTATCTGTCTTGCTTTGGTTCTCTGCATTATTTGTTTTGCTTTGCTCTTTCTTGCTATGGCTGTCTTCAGTATTTGTCTTACTGTCGCTCTCCACTATTTGTCTTGTTGTGGTTCTCTCCACTTTTTGTCTTGTGGCTCTCTCCAGTATTTGTCTTCTTGTGACTTCTCCATTATTTGTCTTCTTGTGACTTCTCCAGTATTTGTCTTGTGGCTTTCTCCACTATTTTTCTAACTATGGCCCTCAGCACCGATGGTTTTATTTTACTTTTCCCTCATAACATTTTATATTTGTCAAAAAAATTGTTCTATTAACTCCAAATCAATAAGAACCATATGACTTTCCAGAAGTATTTAAAAAACGATTTTAACTTATAATAAATGAAAATGGCTTTACTACCAGATATGTTTTCTAATGGCCAAAATATAATCATTTCATTAACTAATTGTCTATGCACTACTTCTGTTATTCAAATAATGGGACGGGAAAAATGTCGATGAATTGATTATTTCTCCTTGAAAGTATAAGATTAATTTCATGGAATTTTACACTCATACGTAGAAAAATGGAGGAAAGCAATTAATTTTGGTTTTTCAATTAAACAGACAGTCATCGTTCTACTTTTTCTATTGACAAAGCGAATTTTTCTCTTGACAATTAAATTGGTATTTATGATGAAAAAAGTATAAAATTGTCATTTTACTAAAACACGCTAAGCTACAGTGTGCCTAAATTAAATGTGTGGTTAAATAATTTATTTTTTACCTGAATAATTATAAAGCAATGATTTTCATCAACCAATTTTCTCAATCTGAAGCGTTTATAATTCTTCTGTACGTTTTAATGACTGCGTCTATATGATACTTGGAATCGTCCTTCCGGTAGACATCGATTACTAATAATGAGGAATCAACATACATGTATTAGCTTAAGTGATAGGATACAGCAATGGCTACCAACTAACCTTATAGAATACGAATGGATTCTTTACAAAAAATTAATGACCTGTTTGGTTGATACAGTAGGGAATTTTTGCTAGTGTACTGCGACAGTAATTATATACAAACACTAAGGAGACACGTGAACCGGATATCTTTTATGTGAGAACACGGGGTGGGTTTTTAAAACCCGAATCCTTGTTTTGAATTTTAAAAGTTTTTCGGAGATCGTCACTTTAAATATTTTTTTTTAAATCCTTACGAATTCTAAACAGACTTAGAGGGTAAATCTACGTAGTGGAGGGACAAAATTTATGAACATGAGGATATTTCTACTTACTTTGTTTCTATCTTGTAAGTATCCTGAAAATGTTTGTGTAAAAAACATGTAAGAATTAATGTGAAAATTATATTTGAATTAATGAAAACAAAAAAAACTTGTAAAGAGCCTTACATACGTAAACATATTTATTTAATATATGAAATGATTTTTTCCAACAAACTTAAAACTGTTTTCATGTCGTATGTTAAATCACAGAATTTGTGATTTCTTTGGTGTTTATTGCTTTCTGAACATCCAAATTAAAAACTTTGCAATAAAGAACATAATGAGTATTCCTTTACGAAGTTAAACAATTTAAGGATCAACTTTAATGACTTCATAAAGTAATATTTTCACAATATATTTTATGAACATATATTATTATTTGTTTCTTTGTTGCATTAAAAGAGGGTTGTGAAAATTGCTAGTAAGCGTACGTTAAAGAAATAATTTTTGTATCCAATAATAATGTTGACAACTAGTATTACCAACTGCCAATACACAAGTATGGCTGTTGGAAAAACTGTTTGAAACTGTAATCATCGTATTTTGCTTATGAAATTAAATTCAGGTTTGCACATTGTTTACAAGAAACATGTAATACTTGGGTTTTAGTAGAATTCTCAGAGATGATATATGCTATATAAACAAGACCAATAACGAATCGGGGTTTATATGTTTGTGTCTATATGAAGTATACTTTATCTTATCTTATTAACGCTACTTGTGACTTTAACTTCATACATTTTTCTTTTAAATCTGTCCAATACTTTTCATCATTACTTATATTAAAAAAGAATATCTTAAACATTATTTAAAAAATACAGGATTTTTTTTTCTGAGCAGAAAAATCAAAAGATTCAGTAACAAATGTAGTTCGTTATGCGCTAGTTTACACTAACGATTTTGTCTGGAACTTCTTTTTCAAATGAAAGTAAAGTCATGTAAAGTCCACAATGCTTGTTAGTCGTAAATAAAGGGTTTCAAAAGAAATATTTTTTTCTGTGTATCAACATTGACAGAACAACTAAACAAGTGGATAGTATACAGAGAGATTATTAAACAATACATATTTGTACTCGTGATAATATATAGATCTGTTCACCAATTATGTCCCGTTTCAGTGCATTTAAAAGCAAGTGTAAACTATTGAAAAGACTTTTCCTATATATTAAAACCAGTTTAACAATAGACCTCGGCGTGTCGTTTTTGTCACGACTTCTTTGTACCAAACGTAGGTAAAAATCACGAAACAGTTCACTCTGTTATTAAAACCATGTAGCGGTTTCTTGATATGAAAGCCCCCTCTCGTCTGGTTTAATTACATAGAATTTACTTTGAATAGAACGCAAGTTAAAAACCTTTTATGATCCCAGGGAATGTTTTAATATATACGTGATTTTAGTGTATGCCCAAAGATGAAAAATAATCCTCAAACAGATTTAAATGAATGAATCTAAACTATCACATTTAATCTTGTCAATTTTAAAGGATATACTGCATATTCTTAAAAATTGCTCGAGCTCAGCTGCAGTTTTGTAATCTTATTTTTATAGATGGTGCTATAAAAAGTACTATATACCACAGTTCACTTAAATATTTAAAAGTACTTTTATTAGAAAGATAAAACTCTTTAATTTTTTATCTTTTCATTATTTGTTACCAGTCGTTTTTGAGACCAAATATGTCGTCTCTCTACAGACACATTTTAGTTTTCAATACGTATTTTACATAGAAATCTAAAATTCGTAGAAACCACATTATTAGAGATTGACCGAAAACTTGTACTGGGCATAAAGAGTGGGGGTATCTTTAAGTGCAAATGTGATTGTTTGTGTACCTTTTTCCCTGTAGTAGCTCCCTTTTGTGAAGCAGCGTTTACACATTCTCTTGAGAACGACCTAAGGACTCTACTCTTCACAACCAACAGTTACAACCGATTTACACGACCACTGGGCCAAGTACCCATCTCAGCCGAACTCAATCTGCTGACCTTAACATCTCTGGTGAGTCCATTTACAAAAAGGACATTGTTTAGATATTGGGAAAAAAAATGTTAAAATGATATTTAACTAGATGGACAGATTACTTACAACAAAGGCGTTAAAATCATAATGAATGGTTTCTAATAGTAAGTGTTTATTAAAACGCAACACATCTCATACTTTACGGTTGATTTTTTTTATTGCATTATCTTTAGCGCGTTGCATTTAATATTGGTCAGGGTTTTTTTTTAATTTTAGAGTATTAAAGATCAGACGATGGCGATTGCCGGCTATTTCACTTTTGTAAGTAATTTTAACGATGTCAGTGGTCTTCCTGCTACTAGTATTCTTTAAAAAGGAAATAGAACGTCAGAGTTTATAGCTTTGAATATTTACATTTACAAAATTTTCCCTTGCGTAATGAGTATTTAAACCTGTATAAAAACAGGTTCGTCACATGACCACAAATTCATTGTTAAGTCCTAAACGATTGACGTAATCGTAAGTTGTCAATGTGTCCAACCTATTTTATTTATACCGTTGATGTTTGAAAAATAAATCAAACTAAAATTCGCCAATATTTGTAAGAAATCAGCTACAAATGAAAATATTAAAAATAAAATACAATTTGAAAACATTAATTGGGAGTTGATCACGTAGCAAACCAGTAGAAATCTATTAGCAAAACCATTGTTACGTCATCAAACTGAGTTATGAAATAAATAAAAAAAAATCAAACTTTCGTTAATCAAAATGAAACACTCTCTTCTTCTCTGAGAGTTCTCTCTCTCTCTCCACTAATGGCTTAAATACTGGTAGCTTTTCGTTTATTTGTGATGCAGAAACACCGAGCAAAACAATTTTATGTCATTCGTTTGAGCGGCAAACATCCCTTGCTTACACACCAGTAACTGTTTATATTAGATCGGACAAGACAATTAACTAAGTCAAGTGAGACCTTCACAAATTAAACATTTCTGGTATTGTTTGATTACTGTGTGTAATATTTATCTAACATAAATTGAATTTTTATACACACTGAAGGTATGGACTGACAATCGATTATCTTGGATTTCTGATGCAACGTACAACACCGACATACCAGCATTTTACACCACACAAGACTATGTGTGGATACCGTCACTCTCAGTTACAAATTCGTGAGTAAATCACGCAGTGATGTCTTCTGTATGTTTAAAGCAGACACTATAAATGCATATTTAATAAATTAAAAACATAATACATGAATTGTATATTCCTCAAATTGTCTTTATAATAGAAAATCGAATATTTCAGAGAAGTTTCGTGACCAAAATAAAAAAAAATGAGAGAGAAGCTATAAAGTTTGCTTTGAGTGTGAATTATGTATGAAAAATATAAGCACTTTTGTAGCTTATAAAATTAAGTGTAGATTTTTTTCTTCAGGATAAGTGACATTGCAGTTATCAGTGACAACACATTCATCATCCGTGTAGCTAAGGACGGTACCCTGAAGTGGACACCGGGTGGTATCTACCAAACACAGTGTACAACAGACGTGACCTATTATCCCTTTGACATACAAACTTGCTCAGTCACACTAACCACTTGGGGATACACCAACATTGAAATAAGTCTAACAGGATCAGGGGTGGATTTATCTTATTATGAACCAAATGGAGAGTGGGATTTCTCATCTTATTCTATCACGTCCTCTACGCGCGCTCATGGTGGAAATAGTTTACCTCAGATAAGCTTCAATTTGACTTTCCGGCGGCGTCCCACATTCCAGATCATGAACACTATAATTCCCATGATCCTTTTGGCTTCTTTAAGTTGTTTTGTTTTCCAACTTCCACCCGATTCAGGAGAGAAGATGGGGTACTCTCTTACAACTCTTCTGGCTTTTGCTGTTTACCTTACACTGGTGTCTGGAAATATCCCAACAACTTCCATTAATACGGCAACTCTTTGTAAGTTCTTTTTTTTTTTTTTTTTTGGTTCTCTAAAGATTTTAGAAACGATTAATAAAATCGTTACATTAATATTTAAACAAACATATGATTAAGAAATGAGGAGAGTGTGAGGACTTTGGACCCTATTCTACCCATACTAATTCTTTTTTTTTAATTTGAAAAAAAATAGATGTCCAGAAGCTAGTTGAAAAAAAAAACACAACACCTCTCACCACAATAAATACAACGAAGTTTTTTTTTTCTTTACGTTCAGTTTTTATTTTGATATATTAAAGTTGCATAATGAGTCAAAACCATGTGTTTCTTTTAAGAAAATTGTATCACAAAACAAAAGATTTCTGTGAAATATGAATATAGCGAAGTTTTGACAACTCAACTGCACTGTAAAGCAAGAAAAAAACTGCAAAATATAAGTGCCGTAAAAACAAATATTGTATCTATCGCTTTGTTTTTATTGTCAACAAAGTCAAAGTCGCGCGTCCTTTATTTTTAGCGTGAATCTTGTAAACAACATTGAATTGGGGCAAGCAGAAGTAAGGAATAAGTTATGATCATCTTTTTTGAAGATTGCATCAAAATTCACAGTCATCTTTTTATATTTATATCTATGGAATTGAAACCATGGTAAATTCTTCAACTTTTCAGCGCATGCGTACAATAAAGAGGAAGAAGTGAAGCAATATTTTTGTGATGGGTTATACAAAGATTTTTTTTTTAACTTTTATTTTTCTCCATTAAATTAGATTTTTTAGGTTCTGAAACCTAATATCTTCAAGAACTGAACAAAATTTGCATGTGTCATGCAAAAATTCTACTGTTGTCAATGTTCCCGTTTGTCCGTCACAGTGTCGCTTTAAGGGTTTCAAGAGTCGCTATTTGATACTGAAGAAATGATAAAAAAAATCGTTGATTCAAAAGAAAGTATTAGGTTCATGTTCTTAAGTTTTGACCACAGGCCTTTGGATCGCTTAAATCTAACTTCGAGAAATTTGGGGTGTAATAAAAGGATAAAGGTATGGAACTCTTTACAAAGGGTACCCAATTTTGCGAATAAAATACTTTTAAATCAAAGTATCTAATTGTTTTCTTTCTATTCGTATCTATTCACATATAAACACTCTACATTACTAACAAAAAGTTCATTCCGAAATTCCATATACTTCCCGAGATATGCTGAAATCATATCCAAAATTGACCTGCATTTTTTTACTCGACATTAGCTTGGGCCCCTGGTCATTCACATGTATACAGACGATGTTTGAACTGCAGCGAACAACTGCATAATATTTGCACAATCTTTGAACATTTTAAAGTTGATTTTTTACTCCAGATCGTATGGTTAAGTCCGTAATGATTCCTTTCGCGAATAAATAATTGTAAAACGTCTGCTTAAACAACTGCACAGCCATTTTGTTTGTAAATGTGAAAAGAGTTATGATTGAACGGAATTTTCCCGGAATGCATTATATACCTTCTGATTTTTTAAAGTTAGACCGCTAAAATGTTGTTGGTAACTTAGTAAGACCTATTGATGAAATCATATAAAATTTTGTAGATACTGAGTGCTAAAAAGCAAATATTCAGTGATAATAGAATAAATTACGGGAAAAATTCGTCCCGTCATTCCCATTTTACAATTATTGTAAATATTCAGAGGCCCAAGCTAATATCGAGTAAAAAAAAGGTCATTTTTAGAATTAATTTCAGCATATCTCCGGAAGTATTCGGAATTTCGGAATGAACTTGGTAGTAATGTATATTGTTTATATGTGAATAGATATGAATAGAAAGTAAAATTTAAAGATCATTTGATTTAAAAATATTTTATTGGCGAAAGTGGGTACCCTATGGAATGAGTTCCATACCTTTATATTTTTTTTTTACGCCCCAGATTTTTAAAAGCGATCTAAAGGCCTGTGGTTTTGACCAGTTCTAAATATTCAGCCTATATCACCAGGTGTCAAACTTGACAAAGTCGGACTATGACGTAGTCGAAGCATTAATTGATTCTAAAGGATAATTTCATTGTCACGTCAATTTTTCTTATAAAATTAAAATTTAATGATATCAAATTTATTTATCTCCATTGCCAACTTATTAATCAACAAGAAATCATATAAAGACAGTAAAATATTAAATCCGTAGGTTTTCCAGCGATGGCAGATCATGAAACATCTGTTTTATCTTTAGATGTTTTACTAGAGAGAGTCATTGATGAAAACTTATAATCAAACTTTATGAATACTATGTACTTTTTCATCGTCAAATTCCTTTTTTTTTTTCATTTAGCAGTAAACCACTTTCACATGAATATGGTGTTTATGTCTCGTAGCTGATTCGATACGCAAGAGCATGCTCTGCGTACAAATATTTGGTAAACCGAGTGAGACGATTGATTGATTGTATGTTGTTTTACGTCCCATTCGAGAATTTTTCACTCATTTAGAGACGTCATCATATACCGGTGAAGGGCTTCAAATTTTGACCTTTACTCGGCACTCAGGGCCATTAAGCAGTGAGGGATCTTTATCGTGCCAACGTTTGCCGTGACAAGGGGCCTCGGTTTTTAAGGTCTCATCCGAAGTATCCGCAACTTTCACTTCAAAGTGCCGAGCGCATGGCGAAGGTATAGATGCTATCCATTTTTTATCGACTTGGGTCAGTCGCGGCCGAGATTCGAATTCACGACCTCCCGATCACGAAGCGAGCGCTCTACCGACTGAGCTACCGTGAACGGTCAGTGAGACGATTGAAAAATTAGTTAATGTCACAAGGGTATCAAATATCTCGACATTGTTCAAATCTATGGTTCTAAAATTACTTTGGCTGCAGATTCACCCTGTTATAGGTCTAACGTTGTTGACATTTGATAGGCCTTTATTTTCATACTGATTTGTAATTGTGGATTACTCCATTTACGAATCAAGACAAAGGGCTTGCTATGGGTGTGACCTATCGACAAGGTGATGGTTGCTCCTCCATGACGCCTGATCCTACCGCTGATGTTTTTGCTCTGCTCTTAATTTGTATTGTTGATTCCTGATTTTTTTTCCTTTCCGTTATCTTTATACATTTGTATTTCACCGTTTAAACCGATCGTTGTCATTCTGGACGATGGAAAAATAAAATACTTACTATTCAATGGCTATAAATGTCGAGAACAGGTCTAAATTTGCAGCCCTCCACCGGCAATTGGTAGCGTCCTAACATGAATTAAAAAATTTTTTTAAAAAAATCCCAAAGCAAACATAAAAAACCAACGATGTGTCTTCAAGTCTTCAGTTGGCTTACAAAGCCGAAAGTTCACACACAGACCATGTACAGAAAAAAGAGAATTCTTGAACCATTATCAATATAGCACTTGCATAAATAATTTATTGTCTCCTTTATACTTACCAACAGAATACTGCAGTAACATGTATCTTAAGGTGGTATGGGAAACAAAACGAAACTTCTACATATTTATATACAGCTGTACCTAAATTAGTAGGATCTGAAATACCTTCAGCTTTCAGTATGTTAAATGTAAATCATATACGGTACCAATTTTGATGCGCCAGATGCGCATTTCGACAAATTATGTCTCTTCAGTGATGCTCAAACCGAAAGTTGGAAATCCAAAATATTTAAATAAAAAAGACTTGGAATAGCTGAAAAAAGGTGCCAAAGACTGGACCAAATACGTGTATGATTTACATTATGACCCCTGGGTCGAGGCCTCTGCTGGTGGACTGTTAGTCCACGAGGGTCTCTACAGCCCAGTTACCTAATATTTCGGTACTAGCTTGAAAATACGGGATATATATTTAATTGCTGGGGTAAAATTTAGAAATTTATCCTTCGACGTATTTAGCTCCGGTCTTTGGCACCCTTTTGAGCATCACTGAAGAGACATATTAATTTGTGGAAATGCGCATCTGGTGCATCAAAATTGGTACCGTATATGATTTACATTATGACCCCTGGGTCGAGGCCTCTGCTGGTGGACTGTTAGTCCCCGAGGGTCTCTACAGCCCAGTTACCTAGTACTTCGGTGCTAGCTTGAAAATACCAATGCCAGCTTCCTGACTACCCGTGCGTCTGTCCGTACCAAATTTTTGTCGCAGTTTTTTCAGTAACTACTCATCGCAGATGCTTGAAATTTTAGCACACTCTTTGTTTTGCCATGTCATATGGTGGGATTAATTTTTGTACAAATCCAAGGTCAACTTCCTGTTTATCCCTCTGTCTGTCCGTATCAAATTTCCGTCGCAGTTTTCTCAGCAACTACTTAAGGCAGATGCTTGAAATTTTAGCACCCTCTTTGTTGAGGCAAATGAACTTGTGTATATTCAAATGAGAGCGTATATTCACATAGGAGTGGGGATATTACTAGTAAGCACTGGCTCACAAACTTCCTGATATTAGCTTGTGTATATCTCAAACTTACCAAATATTTTAATATTTTCCGATTCAGAGTAGCCATAATTAATTCTGTAGTGGTCCCAAAGAAATAATATTACTTCTCAAAACCATTGTCGTTCATTGGCCTTTGGAGCATGCTCGATAATTTTATGATTAAATATAAAATTGTTTAAAAGAGATAGATACCAAGGCTGTTAAAAGAGTTAATTTTATTACATTTTATCTTTTTTTATAAAATGAAATATGTTGCCAGATTAATGGATCTGTGCGATTTGTAAGATTTTATATTCCTTTTGTGCCTACATTTGCTCTTAAATATATTAATTTTTTCTGAATTGTTGTTGTAGCCGTGTACCTTATCATTATGCTGGCTATGGGAGTTATATCAGTTCTTTTGACAATTTATGTTCTGAAGTGTCACCACAGTCCCGAAGATAGACCTATTCCGAATTATCTCAAGAAATTTTGCTTTCTGGCATCTAAAATAGCATTCATTGACGCTTGCTGCAAGCAAAAGATTTACTCCATTGACGACCCTGAAATAGAATCGAAATCGAAAGAGGTTCCCAAGTCTCCAAATGAAGATTCGGAACTGTCTTGGCCGGAAGTAACAAGGATTCTTGATAAATTCTTTTTTAGATTCTATGCTGTATTTTTATTAATAGTTACATTATGTGTGGTTTTAACGCTTATAATCCATTATTATACAGATAGATAATTTTAAGAGATATTATTTTTAATGGATCAAGATTTCTTTATTATTATTATTTTATCCTTTAATGAATATATAACTGCATCTTGAACTTGATTTTTAAAACTTTATAAGATAATTGTTGCATGTGTTTTTACAAGCTAAATCCATTATTATTATTATTATTATTATTATTATTTGATTTTTTCAACTGGGTCAATCACAGATGATCTTCTAATGCGCCAGGCAGCCAAAAACCAGTTGTTCGATATCCAGATTTCTGCTGTATTTTTTTCATATCAGTAAATGTATTTTAAGATAGCCTTTGAGAATTTTCGATACATGAATGTTGTGATGTGTAATTAAAAGGCAAATTTTCTATGTATGTACAAAAATTGCTCACATTTTATTTCTGAGATAAGTATTTTAATAGTGAGTGTATTGAGAATGTACATGATCGTGATTCATTCATGAGGTCGTAGACTCTCTTGTTATTTTTACTGTGCTCATTGTTGTGTAAAAAAAGAAAAATCGAGGTCTTAATGTAAACCTCCACGATCATTTCTTTCCGAAGGAATATTTTTCTAATCTTGAGTACAGATTAAACTGTCTTCGCCAAAATTTAATTCAACAAGCACATATTACTGCCTTTTTATTATGAGTTCATATACAGAGTATATGTATCTATGAATTTTATTTCGAAACCTTACATTTAATAACGTGACTGTTCATTGCATACTGTTTATATTACATTTTCAACAGGTGAAATACTGTGATTTATTTATTGAATAAAAGTGATATTTTTTCACAGTGTGAAAAATATCTAAAGTGAGGCAAATCTCGAGATATTCATTCCCTTCACGAAGAGTACAATTACAAAAATATATACTCCCCAGCCTTTTATAAGATAGCGAGTGTAAATAAATTACTAGTATCCTGACAAGCTAAAACTGCCAAAGTTACCTCAAATTATTATGAAAATCCAATTTAAATAATGAAAATTGTCTATAATTTTCTTTTTCACAATCGCCTAACTATGACGTCTAACAACCGCTCAACTATAACTATCTCAGCCTACGACATTGCGTCACACGAAAAGACAGAGGCAATAGGAAAATCAAGGAAAATGTTATAAACAGAAATATCATTACTTCGCGGTTGGATACGGTAATTGTTTCAATTGTAAGACAGGATATATATATATATATATATATATATATATATATATATATATATATATATATCTGTGTGTGTGTGTGAAACTTAAAGTACAAAAAAGAATATCCTGTGGCACTCTCAAATGAATTCCGAGGAACTCTGAGCTTAAGAATCAACTGCCTATTAGATGTTTGTAATATGACAATTTCCGTCACGGAAGCTCAGTCTGTAGAGCGCTCGCTCCGTGATTGGAAAGTCGTGAGTTCGAATCTCGGCCGCGACTAACCTAGGTCGATAAAAATAGGTAGCAACTGTTCCTTCGCCAAGTGCTTGGCACGTTGAAGTGAAAATTGCGAGTCCTTCGGATGAGACATTAAAATGTCACGGCAGGCGTTGGCACGATAAAGATCCCTCACTGCTCAATGGCCCTGAGTGCCGAGTAAAGGTCTAAATTTGAAGCCCTTCACCGGCATATGGTGACGTCTCTATACGAGTGAAAAATTCTTGAAAGGGACGTAAATCGATATACAATCAATCAATCAGTAAAAAGACAATGTACAAACTACAGAGAAGTCGGCGGTTCCAATGCACTGAGACATGAGGCACATACACATTACCGCTCTTATTCTTCCACAAAGTGTAGTCAGAATCAGTTGTGGAAAAAGTACAGGAAAATAAAAAAAAAAACAAAAAGAAAACGGATTTGATTTTATAACATCCTTAATGGAAGTTTACTGGTACAGTTCTACATTTTTAGTAATTTGAGTTGTCATTAATTGTCGTATTCTGTGGTGCTTATCTCATGTATCCGTTTATTCTGGTTCACTGAATATGAAAACTGGGATTTACAAAATGAATAAATCCTTTAACATTTTCTTTCTTGTAAATGCTGGGAAGCTAATTCATGATGAAAGTAATGTTATTTTCATTTGAAATAGCATGTATTTACTTCCAAGGATCATATCTTGTCAATTATATTTGATTAACTTTTTCACCGTCATGGACTGGATATTTTAAGCTACAAATTACAAATATCGAGACATAAAAACCCGAGAAGAGAAATCTTTCAAGAAATTTAAATGAATTATGAATATCTATCATTTTTGCTTTTCTCAACCTGTGCCTATAGGAGATTTGATTTTATTACCTCTATTACCTTCCGACCTTGAATGAGGTGATCCATTTTACACGTTTTAATAATATACCATCAGGTTTATACCAAAGCGACTTTGCTGAATTCATTTCTGTATCCAACATTTTTTTCAATTAAATGCTGACAGGTGTAGAGTCCATGCGTATATACTTCACACAGCTATATTTCAGAAAAGCCAGCGTTTCTTTCTCGCAACTTTTATATGAAAAATTAAAAAGTACTCAGAAGTACAGAGAGCCGGGCTCATTTACAGAAAGTGAACAAGTCCGTTTAACATGAAACATACATTGTAATAACAGATGACTGAAAGAATATGTAACACAAATTAAAATATATTTATGGCATATAGTATAAATAAGAAAAATGTTTAAAAAAATAAATAAAATGCAGTTTGAATTTAACAGCGTAAACAATTTATCACATGTATCGTTTCGGGGTCTAACATCACTTACAGATGCAGCTACGTGAAACGTTTATACGGGTCCTCAGCAGGGAGTTTTGCATAAAGGTGCGCATCGGGTCACGTGCTTCCCGCATTAGTGTTAGCCTGATAACACAAGGTTCTTTATTTATAGAATGTGACGCGCTGACAGAGACTTGATGAAAACCTTTCGCATTTTATGAACAAATAATTAATTGAAGAAGAGGGGAGAAGGTATATTACCATTAATGTTTTCTTTTTGGGTTTAGAGAATTTCTTAGTTAACTTGAATTTGTTTTATTTACTGTTTGTATTGCTTCAAAGGTGGTTGAGCATACGTACTATATTCTTACTCGTATTTGATTTGGCGGTGAGAAAGCAGCATTTCCGGTTGAACACCGTAACAAAAGCCGGCTATTGCTCTTCGAGCAATGAGCCCGGCTAAAAACTATGCGTCATTTTACTTATATAAACATGGCTTTAGTTGTTATTTTCAAGATATTCAATAAAAGTTTGTTTGTATCATCTGTCCTTAAGCAAAAGAATATTCAACATCTATCCTTCACTTTGATAATTTTTGAACTATGTTATAGTTACATTATAGATATTAACTGGTTATTGGTAAATACACTCACAATTTTTAATTCACGAGGGGCGGAAATCAAACATCTGCAAGTTATGAATATGTGTAGATTTATAAAAATTCTAAAGGTAGAGATACTTAGTATGTATTGAAAATAAACATCCATTAGTTAATCTGATAAAGATAATCGACAAGTGTTGACCTGATCAGCTTCATTCCTGCTGTTTTGCTGGACATAAATGATATGCATTCGAGAATGGCCAAATGTTATGTAACCTGTAATGTATAATGTGATAATAAATAGGTCCAGTACTCTGGCTTGTTTGGGTGTTTAGCATGATTGTTTTCTGTACTCCCCATGCTCTCCAACTGAGTATGAAGTTTCCAAGATCAAGTTATCACAAGAATTCTATTGAACGACTTGACCAACAAACCTTGGCTAAATCTAATACTGTCTGACGCCATGACGTCATACAATTACCACACAATAATTTTGCATTGTGCGTTAAATAATGAGGTTTGATTGGTCGCTAAATTTTTAAAAGCGAATATTAAGCAAAGTCTTCTTTTTCAATAAATTTCCCGTTTTATTTTACAAATAAACATCATGTCTTAATTATTGTTTATTATACATTCATCAACTATCCGGATTTTGTAATTTCTATAAATAAAAATAATAATAATAAATAAATAAAAATAAGCTACATAAGGCCAAATAAAAAAATATGTGTGGTTCCGGTTACACCTCCAAACAAATTAGGGTAGGTAGGGGTTTTTTTTTTACGTCAAAAATATCATTGAATGTTCTTGAATTAACTATTGGTGATAATTGGTGAGATAATACTATTACTTTCTTTCAAGTGGTGACATTTGTAACTGACAAAACACTTGTGCTGTGTGTTGAAACGATGTTGTCAAAGAAGCCACCATTGCTGAAACTAAAACTAATACCGGTGCCAATGAGGGAAATCGGGGGAAATTCCGGAAATTTGAAAATTGGCCAAAAAAAAGTTTAGGGTCGGGGGTATAAAATAGGGACGGTCGGGTAACCGGAACCACACATATTTTTTTTTATTTGGCCTAAAAACAAATACAAACGCACGTACAATTTTTTTCAAAATTTATTTATTTATTTTTGAAAACCAATTTCGATTATTAGACACAACCATAAAATACCTTTAATACTCAAGTTCCTTAACGACATCAAATATAAAGAGGACTTACATAGGCAATGCCTGATGTCCAATCCAATTATGTGATTCGACTTTATATAATAAAATACTGATTAAATTAATATAGAAACAAGATTTCATGACAAAGCATGATTGCCAAATATAGTTTTAAACAGAAAAAGTATTTAATGGCTGCGACATTATGTTTGCCTAACTGATTTTCTTGCTTTTCAATTCCATATACCTCACAGTATGGCTTTTCAGTGCAACTGTTTTAACTGTTTTTTTACATACATGTATATATAATTACCGAATAAAGGGACGTAAACACTTCAACTAAAAGCATGTCTGACTCACCAACTAAACTTCTCACTAAGCGCTTTTCATATCGGTATTTTACCTTGTACGAAAAGCATCGTAGGTCGAAGTCTTATCACATCTTTGTCACGTTTCAAGTTCCCCAGTACATAATAATTTTCATTTTTGATAAAAGGAAAATGTTACACAGACCTTAAGTTTTGTGAGGGTGTGTGTGTGTGT